AGGTGTGGGTGTGGTGTGGGTGTGGGTGTGGGTGTGAGTGTGGGTGTGGGTGTGGGTGTGGGTGTGGGTGTGAGTGTGGGTGTGGGTGTGGGTGTGGGTGTGGGTGTGGATGCGTGTGGGTGTTGGATATTTCTCTCGTAAACGACACCCACAACCACACCCACACCCACACCCACACCCACGCCCACACCCACACCCACATCCACACACCCACACTCACACTCACACCCACACCCACATCCACACACCCACATCCACACACTCACACCCACCCACACCCGCTGTCGTTGTTCTACTGTAATCATTATACAGTACAGTTTTGAAAGTACTGCCCATTTCAAAATATAGTGTTATCCACTATTTTTTGAATAACACAAGAACACAATTAGCTAAAGACCTGCGGTTAGGAGTGTGTGGTGGATCTGGGTATGGGTGTGAGGTGTGGGTGTGGTGTCGGTATGCCTATAGTTATGAGAACATTAACACCCCCACACCCTTGAACATTGGGCATGGCAATTACTTAGTCAAAATTCTGATCAATGGATTAAAAACTCAAATTATGTAGAATTATTTCGTATACTTGCATTATTTAAAAAAAAAATTCAATTTTTAATTATGAAGATATTGAAGCTAATATGAAAAGTTCATTACTTTTTCCTGAAACAATTGAATGTATTAATACTATATTCGAAAGATTGGAAAAAATAAATAATAAAAATGATCCATTTATTAGCATAGTTAGTCAATGGTATGATAATCTCTCTAGTTTCTTAAATGTTCATCCTGAATTTGAAATACTCACTATTATCATTCATATCAATCATTATATAGCACGTAATTATGTTATGACTGATCAATATAAATTCTATTTAAATCACTTTCGTCAATCATCATTATCACAATCGATATTTACTGTTAAACGATTATTTTATATTAAAACATGTTCATTTTTTTTAGGTGTATATTTATTTGTAAAAGGTCCAGATTTTTTTTATCCTTCTGAAGAATTGATTCCTCATTTTGGTATTGATTATGTACAAACGATTCTTCTTCATACTTATACTATAGAATCCTGGAGTATAGAATTATTAAGATGTATTACTGCTCTAACAGCTCTTTTCTCTGCTTGTTGAGGATAGAGAGAAGAAAAAGGTATAGACATAAAAATTATTTTTCCAACTGAATTAACAGTTTGTGAATATATCGATGCACTTATTCGTATTATTGATTATAAACCAATTTATCAATCAATTAAGATATAACGATCAAATGATCAAACAATTCTTTTAGATATAATTTTATATCGTTTATTAATTATAACACAAAATGGAGATTTTCTTTGGTTTTTACGTTCAAAAATTTTACTAACAAATACATTATTAACTATTGTTAAAATCTTACTTTGTGATAAAATGCGTGTAGATGTATATATACAATAATTGGTGAAATTTTATGTGATGAAAATTTAAAACAATTAAAAATATTTGATAGTGCAAGTAGGTTTTTCTTTAATATTCTTGAAGAAGCATGGCAACATCCATCAAAAATATTTCAATAAGTATCAATATTTATTTTATTAAAATGTAAATCATAAATAATCGATGATTAAATTTTATGAGTGAACATTTTTTGTGTACTTAAAAAGTGAGTACACCCTAGAATCGGTCAGTGTGTCTGACCGGCCGGCCGGCCGTTTACGCGATAACTTTTAAAAGAAGAGTCTGATTGCGATGGAATGTTCTACACAGTTTAGCCACAACAATATCTCGGTCAAGTTCAAAGATGAGAATGATTGGCCCAGCCGTTGCTGAGTTATTGCAAAAATAGTCATTATTCCCTATGCTTTCCTATGTGAAGATCGACCTGTCTCCGCTTTCGTAAAAAACTTTTCCTCTCATAGTCAAATAAAACATAAAAAAAGAATAAGGTTAGCTCACCTATTGCAAAGATAATTAAACGGAAAATGGTTGTTTTTATCCATGCTCTAATTGATCCACAATTAGAGCTCTATCTTCCGTTCACAGAGATGATACTTCGAGGTTTTCTGGAGCGGAGAACTCGAATCTGTACTCTACTTGCCTCGAAATACCATTGGTTGAGCAATGACCGATAGAAATCAAGTTATAGGAAAATGGCGGCAATAAAATAACGGAACAACAATGTAACGATGAATTGAAAAGAGAATCGATAGTTCTATTAACAAATCTTGTTATTTATTTGGATATTTTAGATAAAATTTTGCGATCATAATATTCTTATATACATCATTTCACATCGATATATAAGAAGTAAAATTAAATAGATTAATAATGAATAAATTAATCAACAATATATATGCGATGACTGACAAAATTTGTATATAATATTGGCCCGTTAAGCCGAATATCATATGATGAGCTAGAGTATATAAATAAAAATACTATACTTGTTCATCATCTTTGATTATTCAATAAATAATATATTCTATTACAAATTATTATGTTCGTATAATCATCTAATGATTATCCCCGTTTGATGAATACTACTGATATCTTATTCTAAGTAATGTCAATGGATATTGAGTACAGCAGCAAGCTAAAATACCAATAAGTTTTCTTATTGAATGAAGACAATTAATTTTTCCATGAAAAATAAATTGAATAAAAGCAAAATAAAGCAAAGCAACACCAGTAATCTCAATTGCCAAATTTTATGCTTGACAAAAGCAAGAGAAGACATACAACATTGAAAATTAACATTATTTTTAATGAATTGAATAAGAAGCGTTGTTCATATCATAGATGGTTCATTCAAGTTGAGGACGACGGATGTACGCGTTGCAACAAACATGAACAACGCTTGACCATGACTCGATAAAGACCCAATAAATACCATACGAAAATGTGTAGACCTGCAGTTAATCCACCATATAATCCAAGGAGTGTTGTGAATATGTAAACAACACCATTTTGTTCAACATAATGATATTGGCATATTGATGGAGCACATATTTGAAAATATGCAGAATAATTCGCTGACAAATCCACGGCTGCTATGGAACCCTCATCTAGAATCGATCCGATTGGAGTTGTTGGTGGAAACTGTGTTGCATTAAGATTAAATGTAGTAAATGAAGTGCCAAGCAGTTCATTTAGTTGATTGACGCAATCATCATCATAGAAACATTCAAATGTCGACTGTGAAAGACCATTCATAAATGTGCATCCAAGAACAATGCCTAAATAAATGAAATATCAATAATATGCAATTAGCTTTTCAACTATCATCTTTTAATCATAGACCTTTTTGGAAATCTCAATAAGTCAAAGTACAATTATGAAAGTATATGAAAACGTTTGATTAAAGAGTTTACCTGGAAGTACATGTGGATCACCGATCGAATCATAATATATAGGTACCTTTGTACAGTTGGATTCACCACTTGGACAAAAGCAAGTACCGTTGTTCAACAAAACTGGACTATTACGAAGAATATAGTTTTCATCTAAACTCGAAAATTCTGCTTGCCAGCTTGTCATATATTGGTTATGAAACTGATTTGCTTGAAGCATATCAGAAACGAATTTATAAATATCAAATGATGAGGCCAACGAATTGTTAAATATCTCTGTTGTAAAAGCGTTAAACTGTACGTGAAATGTTTGTGAGGTCATTGCTTCGGTTGATATCAAACTTGCCTCAGTAAAGATTCCCAGTAAAAGGTTTAAACTACTCCCTTTGGCAAAACATCGTAAATATAGGGTAAAAAATTGTGATTTGATGGGCTTCCAACTGGATACTTTCCAGGGTATGTCTGTTAGTAACGGTGACCTTAGGAAAGCTTCTTGGATAGTCGTCTGGTTGCAGCTTTCATGGGGTACGTATAAGTTCGTTGAAAAATTTACATAAGGAATACCTATATTTGTACAAGGACAAGATAAACTATCAGAATATTGGCTGTGAAGATATGAAAAGTAAGTTTCATTTGGTGAATCTACGCTTATCAATACTATCCGATGCTGAAATCGCACGAAAATTGAGACAGTTATAAAAGATAGAGCAAGTAGAACAATATAGATTTTTGTTGCTAAATGTTGATATTCCACTTGTGTTTTTCCTCGGTACACATTCATGAGATAAAGTTTATCTCGAATATAGATAAAAATCATTCTCCAACGTAAAGGAGCATCTAAAATAATTCAACATAATTAAATACTAGAAGAGAAAAATTTCTCACCTCGTGTTTGCTGATAGCAAAAACCATAAAACAAATGAATAATTTTGATGAATGATGGAACTAAGATACGAAGTAGAACAGTTAATCCACCAATCAGGCCAATAACTAAGTTAATACGAGCAACAGCCTGTAATTTCTGATCCATTGTATAAGTACATATCTCTGGCTGACATTCAGCATAGTACAATGTATAATTTGCTGTATAGACTAATTGATTAGTAAGAGAACTAAACATTAAATCTAACAATTGATCTTGAGGCTTAAAACTGATTAAAGTGCTTGGATCAAGCGCTGTTATGTGACTCAAATCTATTGGTAAATAGATATTTCTATTACCACAAAGACGCCGATTAATTAGCATCTGAACACAATCTTCATCGTAAAAACATTCTAGTGTGGAGAAAATGAAATCTACAATGTAACAACCAAGATACAGGCCAGAAACAATTGGACTGTACGGACTGCTTTGAAAACAAAGTCCTATACCATTATAGATAAGCATTGGTCTTAGACAATAAGGGATTTCCATACAATCGCATGGCAGCGGACCATTGCTACCGATGTAATTCACCGTATACTCAAGAATCCATGTATTATTGATCTGGTTGGAGACCACAGAATGTTCAATAAAATCGCGTGAAATTGATCCACTCTGTCGAAAACTTTCTTCCATTGGATAAAATTTAGGTGGATATAGAGAATAAATCTAGATAAAAAAATATAATGATATATTTTGCATTCAATGACACCAGAATAAAGTTGTTTTGCTTTTTCAGATTAATCTACTTATGTTTTTCCTTTCATCTGTAGAAGATCAATATTATTATAGATATTCTTTGTAAGGTAGGAAAGAGTTCCGTACAGTTCGACATAAATAATTCCAATTTAGATGCTCAAGAGTATAAGAAAAGATTTTTTTAAGATCTCTTTTTTCATCGTATTCTACCTGGGATCGAAAAGAAGCGTTCCAATCTTGAACTGTTTCACTTAATTGTAGTTGTGTGATAAGTTGAGGAGAGAAAAAATATTTTGCTTGAAACGAGTATACTATGTTAGCGAGACTTATATTGACTGTGTCGCATAATATTTTAACATAATTAAAAAATTTGAATCCATTCTTGCGAAAATCAGTGGAATCAAATGATGGAGTGGGATCGATGCTACCATCGAGAAATTTCATTGTCCAATATTGGAGCCAACGATCATCACGAACAAAACTACTTGTACAAAATGGATGAATTTGTACTTCGCTGGATATAAACGTTGAACGTTGTATCGATGAATTACGACATGGACATGATAGAATCGATGAATACATGTCATGAAGATGTTCAAATTGATCGATACTTGGATTTCTGACAATGACTTGTTGTGAAATAACTATTGAAGTAGAGTAAAACAACAAAATACACATACCAAGTACCAGCAATATAATATAGATACGAGTAGAATAAACACCATGTTGAACATTGGTGAAAGTTGTTTTGAACAAATTCAATGTGATAAATTTGTGACGAATTAGCTTAATGAAATTCCATATACGATCTTTGAAATCTATGCAAAGAAAAAGTACAAGAAGAATAAAATATATATTGATGAAGAGATTGGCTTTACTTCTACTGGATTCATGTCCTTCATCAGCTTCGATCATTTGAACCCGCTGACGACATAAACGTAAAATGAATTTTACAAACAATGGAGATGCTATATATACTGCCACGCGAATTCCACCAAAGATACTAACTATGGTTGTAATCATGTAAATGAGAAAAAACCGTTGTACATATGAATATGAACAGGCTTTAGGTGCACAAGTTTGAAAATAAGTGGCAAAATGAATAGAATTTTCCCAAGACTCAATCATTAGATTATCAAAAAGAACAGCAATTGTTGTTGTTGGACTAAATCGTGAATTAGAGTTTGAAATATTTAGAGGTGAGACAGTACGAAGAGCACCAGTCAACGAAATCACAATATCTAAACATGTTTGGTTGTAAAAGCATTCCAATGTTGATTGAAATAATGCATTTTGTGGTAGACATCCTACTTGAAATCCTGGAATCATGAATAGAGGTGATACATCAAGTGAAAAGACTTCATTCGGAATGATAGATCGCGTTTGATTATAAATACCAGCAGGATAAACACAATCACTTGTACGATCACATTGACATGTTTCATTCGACATGAATGACGATTGGGTTAAATCGACTTGTTGTGGATAAATGGCAGGAAAAGTTACAAAATTATTGCTACCGAGAACACCTCTCGTATAGAAATTTGTTCTTAATGCAGATAAAAACTGTTGTTCTTTAATTAAAGATGACACAAATTGATAGAATGAACGGAAATTATCAAGTGTATTTTTCTGGAATGGTTCAATAGACGTGCCTATATAGGTGCTGATTACATCGCGTGATAATGCACTTGGCGATAATATTGTCATTGCAGCAAATTCTATGAGAGCACCGTTTACAACTCGACGTGATGTTCGACAGAGAATAGATAAAATTTGAAATTGTGCAGAAGCCATCAAACGAAAGTCAAGAGGATAGTAATTGCTTGTATTGACATTGAATAATGAGGAAAACCATTCTTCACTGACAAAATCACTTGAGCATACTTGATGAAATCGAGCATTCAATGACACAATTTTTGAATAAGGAATCGATGTTTGAGAACAGCGGCATTCAGCTGTAGTTGCGTAACGGTTGACGATATTTTCGAAATCATTGACAGATGGTGAAGAAACAGTGATTAGACGTGTTTGAGGGATAATACCAGTAAATGAGAGTAGAATTAAGAGAGCAATCGAAAGTGTGATAATGAAAACACGTGTTGATAGGAGCTGATCAGCCAGAGTCAACTCATCATCTTCATCGTATAGGTTAAGATTTTTGATGAAATGTATGAATTGGTTTCGACATCTAACATAAGTATTAGCTTGAGTAGCCATTAATCTATAAGAATGTTTATTAACTACGCTATGCAAAAATTGAATATGCATTGAATGATCGAAAGGCTGAATGTATAATCTTGTTACTTCGATGACTTACCAATCTACAGATGAAATCAACCATAGTGTATAGTTGATTTCTTTTGTGCCTCTTTTAAAACAAGCAAGAACTCATTAGAATTATTGCTTTTAACAATTATTCACTTTACATTATGTCTTTTCTTTTGTCTCTTCTATTCTCCAAATGCCTCCTTCCAAATATTAACTTTAATAATTTATCTCTCTTTTTTTTTTCTCATGTAACCAGTAAAAAACAAAACTTGTGTTAATATTATTTTAGATATGACTGAATATAATGTAATAACTCGTTGAACATTATTATTGTGAAGAGCGAGATAGCTACGCCTTCAGTTTGTCCTATACTATTATTTTCTTTCCGAACTTTTGTGCGAATCATATTTTCCTACTCGCTCAATTCTTTTGCTTTAACTGCACTTAGATAATTACTTCTTTTTTTTCTACCTACCTCACCACTTTTTTAACAAATGCGACGCATTTGCGTTCGCAACTATGACGCAGTGAGTGCAATTGCTGAAAAAATAGCCAATGATACATAAGTATCTTAATTTTCCAATTCTATGGTTCTTAAAAACCAATAATAACGATTAAATGGAGTATAAAAGGGCACATCTTAAGCATACGAGCTCATTTCTTTCTTATTCTATTATCAAGACACTTCATTTAGTCTCTCAAATGATCAAGATAAGCACCATGGATACTTTAATAAAATAGTTAAAGTAGTGATTTTTTCCACAGCAGAAGAGCTTTTTTAAGAAAAGAACAATTTTTTTATAAAGTTTAATCAAAGGTTTTAGGGATCGAGGAATCTGAATCCGAAACCGGCTTTCCGAAATTTTCAGATCGAGTTTACCACAAAAATCTTTTTTTGTAGAAAAGTATTTTTTTTAATAGAAAAAATTTTTGCAAAAAAAATATTGCTTTCATCAAACAGTTTTTTGTCGGATAATCAGTGTTTTCGTAAATGTTTTTAACGAAAAAACTGATTATCTGGCAAAGAATCGTTTGATAAAAAAAATATTTTGTAAATCACTTTGTTTCGTAAACTTTGTTTCGTTAAAAAGAATCATTTTTTCACAAAAATCTTTTATCAAATTTTATAAAAATCGTTCTTTTCTTAAAAAAAAAGCCCTTCTTGTGTGAAAAAAATCTCTACTTTAACCATTTTATTAAAGTATCCATGATGCTTACCTTTATACTTTGAGAGACTAAATGAAGTGTCTTGGTAATAGAAAAAGAAAAAAATGAGCTCGTATGCTTGAGATGTTTCCTTTTATACATTTTTTTATTTTTTCATTATCTAAATTTTTATTTTTCTTTCAAATTTTTCTACTTTTTAACCTTTTTAGAATTATTTTTAGTAGCAATTTTTTTTGATGTTTCTAATTTTTTAATTTTTGTATTTTAAAATATTTTTGTAATTCCTAATAAAAGTATTAATAAAGTGAAAACATCACCTATGTTGTCTTTTTTAGCAATCGCAATTTTTTTCTCGCAATTACGTGTAACTGCGCTGCGATTTGACCGCAGTCGAACACATTGGATATGATTTAGACTGACTTTATTGGTCAAATATTTTTATGCTTCTCAAAAAGTAATTATTTTTTTTTTACTTGTCTTTATTTACAAAGATGTAGTGCTACTTTTTAACAGAATCAGAAGCAGTTGGTTGCACACTGCTCATATTTCTATGTGAATCAATGAATTTTATTTGTAGTGAAAGCTAGTTCCATCCTCATGTAGTACAGATAAATCAATGTCTAGTTTTGTCAAACTGTGGTCCATGAATTGTTGACAAAGAGTTTTCGTGAAATCTTTCATTTGAAATATTACTTCATTATTTATCGAAGATAATTTGGCATAAACAATTATTTTTCAGTTAAGAAAAATTTGATTATTGTTTGGCTTCATTTGCATGTCGTTCTTCGTCATTCATCAATTACAAATCGTCTTTTAAACTAATACTGTCTATCAGTTGAACTTTTTCCTTTCCATTCTAAAAGATTAATTAATCATCGTAGCATTTGTATTTATTTTATTACAGCTGGCATAATTTTTCCATTTTCAATTAGTAGGAATGCATTGCTGTTCCTGATTGAGAAACAGCATATACAATTATGTAAATAAAAAGTAAAGCAAACTCAAGTATGACTGCATTTCATTTTGAAATTAAAACTTAGTTCTGAGTAACAATAGGAAAGTAATTCAAAAATAGAATAGCCTTTCTTTTTTGTTTATTATTTTTTTTCCGAGTGAAGGTATAGTTCAATAAAGTATGAACAATCTCCAATTTTTATGCAAAACAGAAGCAGTGTATTGATCGGTAAATAATTTTAACTGTTTTCATTCTTTCTTTATGTCTCAAGAAGTTTGGAAATAGTTATGTTCGTTTAACGTATCATCTAATACTGAATCTAATATTATAATTTTGATAGTATCCTCAAGTAATATAGTCAAAAAAAGTGTTCAACATAAGATCCAACCGTTAACCGAAAAGTATTTTGACCACTGCTGAAAGGACATAAACTTTTAAAATAGGTTCATACTTTAATTTAAAAGTCTACATTATCTTACTGTTCATATGACAGAGGGAAAAAACTTGTGTTTCCAAGAAGATTTTTAATTTTTTTTGGCACCATTATCTAATAATTCATGTAATAATTCACATGAATTTTGACATTGAATTGTTAATTCATCGAATGGAATTAGAAATAAATGTGGAAACCTCGGATTTAAATCCGAGAGTTATGTGTACTTCAAAAAGTGAATGAGACAGATGAGTCGTTCTAGAATGTGGGGACATAAAAATGATCCTGGCAAACCTTGTCTATAAACACTTGATTTCTATTGGCTACTGCTCAACCAATAGGATTTGGAGGTGAATACAGCTCAGATTTGAACTCTTCACCTTGATTTACTCTAAGAAAGTCGTTTTTTCTTATAACTTGATTTTTATTGGTCACTGCTCAACCAATAGTATTTCGATGGAAGTGGAATACAGATTCGAGTTCTCCATCTCAGAAAACCTCGAAGTATCATCACTGTGATCGGAAGATAGAGCTCTATTGGTGGATCAATTAGATCGTGGACAAAAATAGAACCAATGCCTGTTTAATTATCTTTGCAATAGACGAGTTAGCCTTCTTGTTTCTTTATGTTTCATATACCATTTTGTAGCTCGTGAAATTCTCTATCGAATGGTATATGGTAGTTGAGGTTTTATTTGATTATAATAGTAAAATTTTTTTACGAAAGTGAGGATAGATTGATTTTCGCATAGGAAGGCATAGGGAATAATCACTATTTTTGCAATAACTCAGAAACGGCTCGACCAATCATGCTCATCTTCGAACTCGACCGAGATATTGTTAAGACTGAACTGTGTAGAAAATTTCATCGTGATCGGACTCTCCTTTCAAAAGTTATCGTGTAAACGGACGGACGGCCGGACACACTGACCGATTCTAGAGCCTAGGAACTTTTTGAGTACACAAAAAGACAAAACAATTAAAGTATACTTATTATGTGTTCGTACAACTGTTCTCTTATAGAGGATATTATCGGATTAAATTAAAATCATACCATTCATCGTTAACAAAAACAAATATCAATATAACACATTCGTTTTATTTTTTGATAATTTACACTTGCAAGACTATGATCAATAATAGTTCCCAATTGTGGATTTTCTATATTACGGACCTTCTTGTTGAAAAAATCGAGCATTATCACGTTTTTTTTTACAATTAACGACAGTTAGTTTTGGTTGATAATCAGACTTTATCTAAGGAAAAACTAATTAAATCTATAGATAGAGAGAGATTTTTATTATTGATTTAAATCATATTTAAAAACGTTACTCGTGTTTCTTATAGATAATATTATTTAAATGCATCGAAATAATTATAAAATAATAACGAAACGTTTATTTATTGAAATGTTTTCATCTTAATAAACTTTTTTTACAAAGAGATAAACCATCCAGAACGTTCTTCTCTTCTACCTTGATAAATAAGACCTAAATAGAATTTTCTTTATATTAAATTTGTTGATGCGAGAAATGCATCTACAGATGTACCACAACGTTTTTAATCTAAACAAGGACAAAAAAACCTTTCAATATAATATTGCTAATATTCTATTATGAAACATAACGAAAATTCTTTTTATTCAAAAATCTATCTGTCAAAACAAAAAAAGAAAAAAAAAACAACGAAAGATATTATATCAAATAATAGCAGGAATATGAAAAGGAACGTTTTTTTTTTGTATTTTGACTGAGAAAAATTTTTCTAACTGTTAGTCTAACGTTGTAGATCTCTCGATAATAGATATATTAGGGTATAGATAGAGAGAATTTCTCAATAACGATTGTATCAATAAATTCCTAGAAGCATATTAGTTTTTCTTGGACATTTCTATAGACCATAGTTCACCATCTAATTTCTCATTTATTTCTATATGAATTTTTGTTGGAATAGACATTATTTGATAACGTC